GGTATAGTTTTCTGAAGCTGAACTGTTGTGGAATCGAAACTGAACTGGTACAACTGAAAGGTAAAAAATGCATAACATGTTCTTCGCAAAATATCATCACTAGATTATTTAACATTCACAAATTCAATTTCTCTTGCCGGTTTAAGGAGTTCCACGGGCAAATACCGAGAGATGAAACTCTCTTCTCACTGCCAAACATAATGATTATCTGCCATGTGGCGATGGTTAACCTATACTCCATCCTTAACCTATGCATCAGTCATCTCTCTACGAGATTGTTTGTGGAATACTTGTCTATTGCTTTTAAACCTTCTGTGAGGTTTTCAACCTCCTCCCCCCCCACAGACCTTACCCATCACCTATCCTCCCCCCCCTTTTCCTCTATCCTCATATCCCTCTCCTCTTATTCGCACCCTCTCCTTGTCCCCTCGCTTTTTATACTCCCCTCTACTTCTGTGCTAGTTTCTCCCTCTTTTACTCTTTTCCTCTGCTTGTTCTACTTCTTATCTTCATCTCTAACCTATCCTACCTCCATCCCATCCCTATCCTATCCTGTATCCTGCCGCATTTCCCCTCGTACCCCTCTTATTCGCACCCTCTTCCTGTTCCTTCGCTTTTTCGCTTTCCTCTACTTCTACGCTCATTCCTCCCTTCTCCATTCCCTTTCTCCCGTTTGTCCTACCTTCTACCTTTAACCCTATCCACTCCTGCCCCCATCCTACCCCTATCCTACCCAGCATCCTCCGTAATCCACAGGGCGAGTCGAGCACAGTGGACCACTTCCCTCAGCCAGCCTGATTTCTACACTTTTATTTTACTTCTGTTTTATGCTGGCGTATTTTACATGTATTCTACTTTCATTTACACCTTTTTGTATACATTTTGAATAAAACTTCCACTGAATTCGTTTGCTATCCGCCAATATCCCACAAGGATTCACATGATGTGCGGATAAGGGGGCATCCTCATCTGCTGCGATTTCTCTCTACTTTTTATTCCTTTTATCAAGTTCAGTTTTATTTTTTTTTGGCTTTTTTTACTTACTGATCATTTTAATCTCTCTTTTACCCTGAGAGCAAGTCACTGATTTTATATTTTTATTTCTGAATCGCAGCAGATGGTTTTACGTATTTTTTATGATAATTATTATTTCATTTATTTCTTTGATGTTTTATTGCTTTTAATTTTGTTTTATCTTGTGTATATTTTCTTTTATTTTAATATTTCCTATTTATTGTTTTAATCATTTTTACCGCTACCACTCCGTCCGCGTGAACCAATGTAACCCCCATGTTTTTGCCAAATAAACGAAGTGGATACTCTGACTGTGTTGTGACTTTACCCTATGGATTTACCTGTCTGGATTCTACACCTCGGATGCTGAAACAAGGTTGTACTGCCCCTTTTACTTGCCTAGGTGTATTTATGCTGGACGTGTTATTTTACTGTTTTACTCTATTTTTTTACCTTGAACCATGTGTGCCTTTACTTTTACTTTTTACTTGCTCTGAGTTTTACTTACTTTTACTGGTTCCTTTTACGTTTCTTTTATTCGTTTTACCCTTTTACTCGTCTTTTACCTGAACTTTTACTTCAGCTTTTACTTTTCTGTTCTTACGATCTTTTCATTTACTTTTCTTCATATTCCCTTTTACCTCTCTTCCTTCTGTGATTTTACGAATCTTAGTTTTGTTGATGTTTTATTTTTACTGCTTTTAAGCCCTTCTGGCATATTTTAATAATTTTTTCAGCCCTTCTGGCAAGTTTTTTTTTTTAAGCCCTTCTGGCAATTCTTTTTATCTAATTCAGTTTTATTTTGGTGCCTTCTGCACATTGTTTACTTTTACAGTTCATTTTAGGATTTATTTTTATTGTATTTTATGTACCAATCTTCATATTGGTCACGCTCCTGGTAGACCTGCAACTCCGGGGATAATTTGGCTTGTGAGGTCGTGTTGGTTCCGAGCCTTCAGCTTGGTCCCATCACCCCCTTTGCGAGGAACGAACGGGGCCCCTCATTTTCCTTGGCCCCTAAGCCTGAAGTCTTCCGCCTCACGGTTGGCTTCCTTTGGGTTCCTCATTCACATAACCTTACAGGTACACCCAATTTTGGTGGCAGCGAGTGGGACCTACCAGGAGTGTATTTATGAGCTTTCTCTGCTCGTTGACTAATATGAAGATTTTTAACGTCCAGTGTTTAGCTTTTTCCTGTTAGGTTAGCTGTTTTAGTAGTTTTAGAAGCCACATTTCTTGTGTTTTATGTTTTCTTTCAGATTTTGTAGTATTTTAGTATCTTTGAGCGAGGCTTTTCTCTTTCAGCATTTTAATTTTTGTCTGTTTTTACTAATGCCCGCTCACCAGTTAGTTTTATTTTATGGCTCTTGCTAGGTATAGGGACACTTTTATTTTGCTGTGTTTAATCTTGCTTTTACCCCTGCTAATTTTACTTTTTCCCCTTTGTTCGCACTTGGTTCGTTTTTTTGTATTTTACCCAGTTTACGGGCAGTTTTTAAGTTTTAATGCGCCAGTGTTTGGCTCAGTTGATCACGCATCACTGTTCACTTTGTGTGTAGCCAGTATCTCTGGCTACTTTTTTGTGTTTGTTTTTTGAGCTACACAGCTCCAGTGTGTGTGGGACTTCGTTCCCTTTTGTCACCAGGCTTTGTGCTATGCCTGGACGTGGGCGATCTTTACGCGTCACGAGGTCATCGAGCCAGCCAAGCTCGCGCACTTCATCGCCTGACAGCCGTACAGCCCTTCCAGTCATAGTGGTTCAGGGTTCCAACACCGAAGTGCAGGACGCAGTTCGAGCCGTGGAAGGGGAGGTTACGATGATGGAGGAGATGCTGCAGAGGATGACGGACCTTGTCGCCCAGAACAGGGAAGAACTGCTGCGCAGGATGGAGGAGATAGCCCGGACGAGCGAGGACAGACTGCAGCGACTTGAAGACCAACTTCAGGAAAGGACTGCTCCTGCCGAAGCGGTGGTATCCCGCAGTAATGGGAGCCAGGTTCCCACAGCAGTACAGCCTGAGGAACCGCCAGCAGACGCGCCACTCCCATGCACTCGAGAAGCTACCTCACCACGCACGGCCAGGCCTTCCAGCCCCATCCACCATGTAGCTACTAGGGAAGACCTCCAGGAATGGCAGCGGCAGTTAGAAGAGAGGGAAAGGCGTTTCAACGACAAGAGCGGGCTCTCCAGAACCAGCAACTACCGGGATACCGAAGGGAGGAAGAAGCACAGCCTGGGTTTTCTTCGTGCGTGAGGCTAGACAGACTTTTCCCGAGCCAGCCCCAAGATTGTCAACTCCCGCCCAAGGTACCGCGAGGAGCCAGTAGAGGACTACAGTCGACACCAGCAACCCTCGTCACTCGTCTCAGGGGAGTTCATGCCTTACCTTGTGTCCCGAGACTCGATCCCTCACTTTAAGGGAGAAACCTCTGCTTGTGAGCCGCTGAAGAGGAACCAGGAGGTAGAGAGCTACATCAGGGCCATCGAAAACCTGGTGCGGCCCACAAGTAATGACGCATACATCCGTGCTGCGAGAGCGAGCTGTCGAGGCAGAGCGGAGACCATCATCAACTCCGAGAGCTTCGATGGGATTCAGGACTGGGACACCTTCAAGCGGCAGCTGAGGCGTAAGTTTAGGGGCACGTACACCGCCTCTGACTTTTTCAAAGTTCTGTACGATCACGCCATGACTGAGAGGCAGGCTCCAATGGACTTCTTCCTTGAGGTGGAGGCGTCTGTCTTTCAAGGATACCGGGACCACCGAGGAGCTGTTGGAGAGCCTTCGGAATTGATCAGGCGAGTCTTCCTTGCTGGCTTACCATCCACCTTACGCGATCTCCTTGTCCTCAAGGATGATTGTTCGCCTATCCAGCTTGCCGAGACCGCCCAGAAGCTTTGGAACTCCAGTATGGCATCAGGCACAGCAGTTCCAACACTCGCCACCAGTCTCCGAACAACATCCAAGAGGACGACTACCAGCTTCGACGTCGCACTCCAGACCGGCCACCTCGTACTCGAGACCGTTATGACCTGTTCCCTGTTGCCACCTCACCGCACCTGCTCAGTCTCTTTCCTCGCCTCCAACATCACGGCGTAATGTATGGTGTGAATACATCGAAGTTCAACCCACAGCACCCGGGAATGCAGAGCTGCTGCGCGTCAGCCTTCACCACCAGCCTACTCTTGTTCCGTTGTGGAAGGAGCGGTCACATGTCTCGTGAGTGCCCCTTTCCGAGAGGCCAGGAAGGAAGGGTTCCCAACTTCACTGGCGACTTTACAAGGGAACCCGCACACGCTCCATCACAGTCCAGACAGAGCCGGTCCAAACAACAGCAGCAGTGACTACCCCAGCAGTCGGCGGACGTCCAGTCGTGGCACTCAGTGTTGATGGGAAGACTCTTCTCTGCTTCATCGACACTGGGTCTCAGGTGACTTTAGTTAAGCCAAGTGCTTTAGAAGTCCTCGATCCGGCGAAGAAGCTCCGACATCATGCTTCTAGCAAGATCCTCCAAGGCGTCTCAGGGGAGCCCTTCCATCCAGCTGCAGAGGTGACGCTCAGCTTTAACATCAGCAAAGATCTTGTGCTACTTCACCGCACCATAGTGGCTGATCTGTCTTTCCATGGCGATGTCCTTCTTGGGACTGACTTCTGCGACGCCAGGACTTCACTTCAGTCGAAGCCCAATCACCTCATGGACTGCTCATCCTGGGAGGTTGTGAGCTGTCCTCCTATACACTGATGCCCACTCCCTACAGATTAGCCTGGTTGACTCAGGCCTGACTGATTCTCCTCCTGGACTCCATGCACCTGCTCCACAAGAAGCCGCTGTCCATCTTGC